GAGTCAAGAGTCGCATTATTTTCCGACAGTGGAAGAGTATGGGTATGGAGACTCTGTAGTCAAGAGTTTGATTTAAAAAGACTGCAGCCAACGGTGAAACATGGGGGCCTTTCAGTAATGGTATGGGGTGCAATTTGGAGTGATGGTCGCTCAGAGCTTGTGGAGTGTGAAGGAAACATTAATTCAACCAAATATGTTTCTATATTAAAGAAATGGATCCTTCCAATATTCTCAAGTCGTAGAATGAGCAAGGTTGGCTCCCTGTTTATGGAAGACAGAGCTCCATATCACACGGCTCAAGCAACGCAACATTGGTTACGACAAAATGGGATCAATAAACTTCTATGACCAAGTCAGTCCCCGGATATTAACCTTATTGAACACCTTTGGCGCATATTAGATCGAAAACTCCGCAAAAAGAACAGGAAGCCATCTTCTAAGTCCGAACTTTTAGGATTATTGCGTCAAACATGGCAAGAAATCCCTCAAGATGATATTCGTGAACTCATCGCTAGCATGCCTAGAAGGGTCCTTGCATTAAAAAAAGCAAAAGGGATGTCAACCAAGTATTAGTTATTAAATTTATGACCATTTATAATTACTTCATTTGTATAAATTACTTGTTTAATAAAATAAACGGTTTCTGTGAGCGTCTATTTAATTCTGTCATGTCTGTATGTATATATATATTAATTGGACACCATCTAGATATGTTTCGTGCAACCAATATAGTGGGATTATTCTGATTTTTTAAAATCAAACTTTATATATATATATATATATATATGTTAGGATATTACGCCGGAAATATGTCAAAATCGCTACACAATTGCAGTTGAGTTTCGATGCGTATCAACGCATCTTATCAGGCAATTGTAAATTATTGGCGGTTGAACGATTTATTTAGATTTAAAAGCAAAATACGAACTCTTTCTACGATAAAAAGTAGAGAGGTTATAAAGTTTGTGGTTTTTACTTTGATCAACTTGTCAAATATAATCTACGTTAAGTGTAAAATAAGTGAAAAAGGTAAAATGAAAAAAAATTTTTTTTTCTATATGGGTCATGACCCATAGATTGGCAACTAACGGCAGCCAGACATAAACTACAACATATACATGTGGTTACGTTGCATAAATTATAAATTTAATCCTACTTGGACACATATATATATATATATATATATATATATATATATATATATGTATATATAAAAATAATCGGTAGGTATTATTGCAAAGAGGACTTCTTAGTCCATATGACATATCAGTATATGATACCGAGCAAATTATAAGAATAATTAGGAAAAAACTTAAAAATAGATATTCGGTAATAAAGTTATTTATTATCACAATATATATATATATATATATATATATATATATATATATATATATATATATATAATACTGTTGAAACTTGACTAATGCATGGAATAATAATGCAACACAAAATGTACTTAGAACAAAATGTATTGAAACAAGAAAGTGTACACAATATTTACATATAGTCTTTTGTATATTCCTGGTAAGACCGTTCCTGGAGAATGTGTTGACTGAGTCGCAGTCAGGCAGAGTCTCTGGTTGAATCTCTGGATTCCTCCTCTCTTCCCGGTACCAACCATATTTATATGGTCGGTACTCCACTATGCAAATTAGGTGGATCCTACCACAACAAATACTAAAATAAAATTTGTAGGTATTATTCCAAAGAGGACTTTTCAGTCCATATGAGACCACAATGTATGATACAGAGCAAATTATTAAGTATAATTAGGAAAAAACTTAAAAATCCATATTCGGTAATAAAGTTATTTCATTGAATATAAGCACATTCATCTCATCAAATGGACTACATTTTATAAAATGGAACTGTATTTTTTCATTCTATATTTTGGTATTTCTTTATTTTATAATTTGTCTGTCATGGTTATCTTGATTCCATAATAACACCGCAAAAATGGTCAATATATATCCCGATTCATAGAGACCAAATCAGGTCCTGCAAAAACTACTGTACAAAGTATAAAGAATAAAATACCAATTGGTGTTAGCATCCGTGTTTGAAATGTTAATGGAAACAGGAAGTGTCCTGCAGTAAACAGAAATCCCTTTATGTTCCGTGCAACCAATGGAGACCATATGGAAGGATTCTGGGATGTTTAAATCAAACCTTATTTTTTTACTTATATTTTCCAGTTGTTGTATTGTGTTGCTCTCCGACACGTGATCAGTGTTCAACTTCCGGTCTGGCTCTTAGTTCACTATATACTTTATATCTCTTCTCCTTAACATGTAAATAGGTAAAATACGATTTACTAATCCACTGCACATCTGTGAACCGAAGAGTTTTAATGCCTTTAATTGTTCTCAAAATCCTACAACCTCGTCCCTCATCTCCCCTTTGTGACTTATGTCCAGTTATTTTTAATGGAGATCTGTCTCATTTCATCCTCTTCCGTGTCTGAGTCACTCCTGCTATCAACAATAAGCTTGTCTTCTATTGCATTATTCTGATCTGAAGATCTCATCCTTTCTTCGCTGTCAACATTGTCTTATACCATGAGGCCTTCCTCTTTCATTTCCTGGTTTTAATTGATCAAAACTGGCCATTAGGCTTTTTCCATTGTTAATGGCAACGTTATGTCCCATTTGTATAATGAAATTAGTCCTCTCCGGAATGGCTAATTTGTCGTTCCTTTTTTAGTCATAGCCTGGGTCTAAGTTTCGACAAATTCCGGTTCATCCATACCACTTAAACATGCTGTCGGCTGACGCCATATTTTTGGATTTTGTTGTAGAATAAAGAGTCAGACTAGAGACAATATGGCGTCGTCGATAGGATGTCTATGTCGCTCGAACGAACTATAATTTGTCAAGACTTTGATCTTGTGTTATTTCAGCCCAAGCTAGAGATAGTAAAAATTGAAAGACAGTAATGCAAGAATGGGACTTGACCATCAACAACTCTCAATTTTACTCACAAAGCTTAGGTCAAGTCGTAGTATGTTTTTTCGCCTCCTCCATATAAAATCAGCTTCTTGACAAATCGACCTTGGTGAGATTTGAACCCGGGTCTTATGGTTAGAAAGCGAACATCCTAACCACTAACAGTGCCCATATAGTTATCATTCATATTTTTTTTTCATTTGGATGAATCTTTAAGCGTGTATCGATAGTATATTGACATTTTATACATAATGACCAAACAATTTTTTGCTAATTATTTATTTTATAATTAATTGATATGTTTATTCTCGGAAACTATTCATTGGGTTCTTCTTTCCCGTTCTTTCTTATATGCTTAACACAAATGGCGTTTTCTTTCTAGCGGAGCAGTGATATTGTGTTTTTCCAAGCGTAGCTTAGATGTGGCCGAAAGTATGGGGCACCGAGTGAGGATCGAACGTGGAACAGTGATATATTGGCGCTAAGGATCATACTTGTCCCGCTGTGTTTAGATACCGCAATTTCATTCCCAAATCGTCCCTGATATATCTGAATTATCTCTGATTATATTAAACGAGGCAGATTCTAATATTGAGATAGAGATCTCATCTGCTCGAATCTTGAAACAACAAAGCCTGGTATTATTCCGAGGTTTTCTTTTCATTCTCATCCAGGATACTTATATTCAGAGTAAGAGAATTGAAATTTCTAGGGTATCTAACGAGGAAGAAAGGCTAGGAAAAATTGAAACTCAAAGGAAAGAGAGGTGGCGATCAATAAACTGTATTTTATTTTGCGTAATAAGAGAAATTTTGAACGAATACTAAAAGCCAAAAAAATGAGGTTGCATTATGCACAGCTACGTGTTTTCAGAAATCTTTACCTAGCCTACAAAGACCTCATATTTAAAACAGCAAGACTGCAAATACACTCAGCACAATAGATGATAAAACACAAAGCAGACAGTCGATGATAACATAGCAAAAGATATATCGACAATTGTTTTGCACAGCAGATAAAGATTTTTTTATATTTTGATTTTCATGTTTTCTCTCTATTATTAATGAAAGACAATATTTTTCATCGTCTATTAATATATTAAAATAATAATAAAGCAAAACAGAAAACTATGATATATTAATTAAAACCTTAAAATGCATTAGTGCGTATATCTTGTTCACATGTTCCCTCTAAAATTAGAAAATATGTTTTGAAACGGAAATTGAGAGAAGCACCCAGTGGCTAAACATCTGATTTATTCATATTCTATAATATCGTGTTAATTAAATATATTAGTGAAATATATACAAATATATATACAAATCAATTTATATATATATATATATATATATATATATATATATATATATATAAAAGTGAACATTGAAGTCAACACTCAGAGGCGACAGGCTGTTTCATGCCTCTAAGTGTTTACTTCAGTATTGACTTTTATATTTATGTTTACATACGCTGATATTGAGCACTTTATCCCATAAATATAGCACACCTTAAAACTATAATTCTTATATATATATATATATATATATATATATATATATATATATATATATATATATATTATTTTATTTCAAAGAGGATAGAATCCAGGTAGAGCTCAATGTCCATTACAGAGCAAGAATACAAGTCTGATGAATTGGATCTGGGATCGATTCAATGTAATAATTTTTAAGCATGGAATAATAGTGTTTGAGCTTTATATATATATATATATATATATATATATATATATATATATATATATATATATATATATATATAAAATCTTATGGTACATGAGGAATTTATGTTAATGAATTGCAAAAACGGGGAGTGAGATAAATGGTTAAAAAAGATGTACAGATTAAGAAGTTGTGGAGAGTCATGATCGTTCACGTCTCGAAGAGTGAAATCACATACAAGAAGAAAAAGAAGAAGAGCAACAACAAGAAGAAATTCTTCTATGGTAATGATGCTGTTGCTTCAAATATATGCTTGAACCCAGTGTCATCATCATTACTGGAATCACTGCCGTTGTTGTATCTTTTACCAAAGCTCTTAATTTATCCCTGGCCTTGTATTCGTTTTTGTCTTTGCATATATTCTTGCATTGCTTCATTTTTTTTTTCTTCTGCACACATCTATTGCTTTCCTTTTTGTCTTTCTTTCTCTCTATCAGAACGATTTTTTTCTTTTCTTTTTTTACATCTGGTTTTGATTCCAAATATATGACTCAATACCATTATTGTCGATCGTCAATTCTGACAGATCCGTATCCGCCCTAGACACAAAAGAAATGGAACTAATACTTAAAAAGTACTTTGACTGTCGGTAAATCGACAATGAAATGCAAAGATAAACATAGAGATGAACAGACTGATATCTATATCTATCTATCTATATATATATATATATATATATATATATATATATATATATAGATAGATAGATAGATAGATAGATAGATAGATATGAATAGACCGAGATAGATAAATAGATTGATGGATATTACCTGAATGAAATAGATAGATACATAGATAGATAGTGAACAGATTGAGATAGATAGATAGATAAAATAGATAGATAGATAGATAGTATATATATATATATATATATATATATATATAGAGAGAGAGAGAGAGAGAGAGCGAGAGAGAGAGAAAGTGACTAAGAGAGTTTAAAAATTCAAATATAAATAAAAAATATACCCCAAAATACAATATGAATAAAGATAAAATGCATACGTTTCGCTCTATGAGAGATTTTAACACGGCAAATAATAGGACTTTATTTTTTGCCACATGTATCTAGAAATTATTATGTTGCAAAATAAATATCCTAATATTTACCTTCATAATGTCCATGAGAGAATGAAACGCGTCAGTAAAAAACGTTTCATTTTTTTCTTTGTTCATAGATAGATAGATAGATACAAGTGAAATAGATAAACAAAAACAGACTGAGATACATAGATAGATTATATTTATTATTACAAAATACAATAATTGTGGTACATGCCCTAAAAAGTGGGGAGGTTGGTCATCCTTACCTATCCTATACCTAACTGACCCGATTCACGACCCATTCATTCAATACAAATAAACCATTCAGCGAAAGAATTCACTCTTCACCTTTTAATCCTACATATACCACAATAACACAATCCCAAAGGGAACCTAAAAATTAACCCCATGATTTAAAATTTCTTATGTACAAATGTTGATGTCAGTAGGACCCGTCCACCCCACAAAAATCAGAGTTGCCGCTGTATTCTTTCATTCGACAGAATCAAGAGGTTAACTCTCTAACGGAATGGGGGTGGTGAAAAATAAATGTAGGGCGTGGGAAAATCAAAGACTGAACCAGTCGAGATGAAAAAAAGGGCCAAAACAAACTGGGGAGGTTGGGAATCTAGCAAGGGGCCGGGAACAGGCCAGCAACGACATTCACTCACATTAACTAGGTACACAAAAGAGGATCTACCTTAACCAGGAGGAGGGTTCGCCGAAAATCGTAAAGTTGTGACGAAAGAAGACTTTAAAAAGGAACTCAAGGATAGCCCCTTTCACGCGAACCAAGCTCTCTACTTTTACCCACCTTTCGTTGAAATCTGTCGACACCAAACGCTTTTTATCAGTTCTTATCTTCACTTTCAGCTGAAAGTATCTTCCTTTGTTCCTTGCAAAGAGGAAGTACAGCCAAGCGGTAAAAGATGGGAGGAAAGACGTAAGTAGCACATGCATCAGGTCTACTCTTCAAGGACAACCTCCTTCAGAGCCAAGCTCGGATCGACGTTCCGGCCTTTGCCTGTACTTCTGACCAATTTTTTTCTCCAGCTGGATGTCGGGTCCAAACCACACTCCGAGAACTGAAGGGTCCCGGACGAGAGACCTCCTTCCAGGCACCTAACCGCAAGCCCGGAAACTTGTTCTTCTTCTTCTTCTTCTTCTTCTTCTTCTTCTTCTTCTTCTTCTTCTCTCCCTCTTTTCAATGAAGACGACCGAGGTATGGGTATCTCCTGCATTTCTACTTCTCTTAATGGCTGCTCCTCTGGCTCTGGTTGGGGACCCTCATTCTGCTGCTGAAGGGAAGTGTCGGTACTTTTGGCTCCCTTCTTGCCGACTTCCTTACACGCTCCAGTCTTCTGGGGTGTCTGCGCTGTTGCCTGTCATGTTGCTACTTCATTTTTCTTTTTGGGTTGTGGGACAGGATTTCGTCCCGGGCAAGCCTTCGACAAAAGCCTCGCAGCCCCACAAACCCAACAAAGTGGTCGACGACCCTCCACAACAACATAGATATGTCTACCCTTAACGTGTTGGGTATTTCCGTAAATTGCTTTCGATTTAATGTAATTGAGATTTCAATATCGCCAGTGGCAATTCCGGCTTTACTTTTAATAGGGCAGACGACGGAGACGTTCCCATATTTAGAAAAGAAAAAAAAACAATATGATTTTCAAACATGTAGCGTGGCACCCTATGTAGAATCACGTTTGCCTTTCTCGTCCCGATATATTCAGTTTGAAGCATGACTGCCGAAGTAGTTAGAATTCAGCCTGACAGCGATTTGGCTTTTTTCTTCTGTCGGCAATAAGATGTCCGACATTGACTTACTTCTTGCTAGAATTTGGGCTGCAATTTGAAGACTTTTCAGTGCCTCCTCCATCATTTCCCTAGTCACGATATTTAGTTTCCGGGTCTTGGGGTCCGTTGTTAATAACGAGATTGTCCTTGGATTCACCGTGTCCAATACAGACGGCACCGGTAATAATTCATTTCCATTAACATATGGATCAAACTTCTCTTTTAAATTTTTAAAATATTCTGGCCCTTTTTAGGGGGTAATTTCCTTGCCCATGCCGAAGGAGTTACTTCTGTAGGGGATGCAGGAAGAGATTCGGACACCGACATGATGTCGTCCTACCCTCGTCACTCCAAAAGAATTCAAAACAATACACGCAATTCAGACGAATAAGACGACAAAGAAAGACAACAATGGGTACACAAGACGCTGGTGGGTGGCAAACAAAAATTACACTTACTCCGAAGAATATCCAAAGAAAATGTCTTGTACAGCTCGCGGTAAATTCGGTAAGACAAAATGTCTCGAGATGACATAGATAGATAGATAGATAGATAGATAGATAGATAGATATGAACAGACTGAAATAAATAGATAGATAGTAAAAATATAGATGTAAAAAGATAGATAGATAGATAGATAGATAGATAGATAGATATGAATAGACTGAGATAGATAAATAGATTGAGGGATATTACCTGACTGAAATAGATAGATAGATATGAACAGACTGAAATAGATAGATAGATAGATAGATAGATAGATAGATAGATATGAATAGACTGAGATAGATAAATAGAGAGATAGATTGAATATGAGCAGACTGAGATAGAGAGAGAGAGAGAGGGAGGGAGGGAGAGAGAGAGAATAATAGAGTTTAAAAATTCAAATATAAATTTAAAAAAATATACCTCAAATACAATATGAATAAAGATAAAATGCAGAAGTTATATTTACCGATGCGTTTCGATCTTTGAGAGATTTTAACACGGCAAATATAAGGACTTTATTTTTTGACACATGTATTTAGAAATGTCTGTTTATTTTATAAATACATGTTGCAAAATAAAAATCCTAACATTTGCCTTCATAATGTCCATGAGAAAATGAAACGCATCAGTAAAAAACGTTTCATTGTTTCTTTGTCATAGATAGATAGATAGATAGATAGATAGATAGATACGAGTGAAATATATAGACAGAAACAGACTGCGATAGATAGATAGATAGATAGATAGATAGATAGATAGATACGAGCGAAATAGATAGAAACAGACTGAGATAGATAAACAGAAACAGATTGAGATAGAAAGAAAGAAAGAAAGAAAGAAAGAAAGGAAGGAAGGAAAGAAGGAAGGAGGGAAGGAACAGAGACAGAAATATACGAAATGAACCTCAGCGATTAGAATTTTTATATGTTTTATGAAAAACCTCTTCTGACGAATGGGTTATATATTTTATAATTTAAGCTAACATAGTGTAAATAATGCACCGACATGTCTTGTCAATTATTTTACTATAGAAGTTCTTGCCAACGGTTTTTCCGTATGTAAACATTTTCCCCGTATTTATCACTGGCAAAATGCATTGGAACACAACACAGCATTTATTTACCCCGAGGATTGCATATTCATTAAAACAATATAAGCATAAAGAACGCTTATTTACCAAGAATAGAATTATTATTTTTATTCACTCAGAACATCGTTGTTTTTGTTTTTTTTTTTTGTTGTTTTTTTGTCATTGCTCGAAGAATTTCAAAGTATGGCTGGAAAACATATTTCCACCTGAAAAGAACTGGTCTATTACCCGTCAGGCCATTGTGAAGAATCAGTAAAAGCAGGTATTATCACTGATAAGCAGCAAAAAAAAAAGAAGAAGAAGAAATGGGGCAGAGTGAGGGAAGATGTAGGGTAGTAGGAGGAGGAAGAAGTACGAGTAGTAGGAGAGAGAGGAAGGGATTGGACCAGGAGTTACAAAGAAGAAGAAGAAGAAGAAGAAGAAGAAGAAATGGTGGCAGGGAGAGAGAAGATGAAGTAGGGTAGTAGGAGGAAGAGGTTTGAAGAAGTGCGAGTATGAGGAGAGAGAGGGGAAACTTGGAGCAGGAGGAACAGGGAAGAAGGTGGAGGTGGAGTTGAGGAGGAGGGGAGGAGAAGGAGGAGGAGAAGAAATAGGCGCAGGAAGAGGAGAGAAGAAGTAGTATTGATGAAGTAAAGGGAGGGAGAGGGGAGAAATGAAGCAGGTAGAACAGTTAAGAAGAAGAAAAAAGAAGAAATTAAAACAGGAGGAGGAGGTATGAAGATGTAGGTAGTAGGAGGAAGAATAAGTAAGAGTAGGAGGAGAGAGAGGAAGGGATTGGACCAGGAGTTACAAATAAGAAGAAGAAGAAGAAATGGTGGCAGGGAGAGAGAAGATGAAGTAGGGTAGTAGGAGGAAGAGGTTTGAAGAAGTGCGAGTATGAGGAGGGAGAGGGGAGACTTGGATCAGGAGGAACAGGGAAGAAGGTGGAGGAGGAGGAGCGGAGGAGGAGGAGGAGGAGAAGAAGAAGAAATAGGCGCAGGAAGAGGAGAGAAGAAGTAGGATTGATGAAGTAAAGGGGGGGAGAAATGGAGCACGTAGAACAGTTAAGAAGAAGAAAAAAGAAGAAATGAAAACATGAGGAGGAGGTAAGAAGATGTAGGGTGGTAGGAGGAAGCGGGGTTAGACAATTGTGAAGAAGAAGAAGAAGAAGAAGAAGAAGAAGAAGAAGAAGAAGAAGAGGAGGTTATAGCGGAGACATTGGGCAATAGGAAGTAAGAAGGGAAGGAGGAAGAGGGGAGTGTAGGATGAATTAGAAAAAAATGGGAGGGGGAGGAAGAAGACAAAATTTGGAACGGGAGGTGGAGGTATGTAAAAGGGGAGCCGATGAAGATTCAGGAAAGTAAGAAAGGAGCATGGAGAAGAGAAGAAGATAAGGTGGTGGGTACTTGAGGGGGGAAAATAAGAAGGAGACGAAGAGTAGAGAAGGTGAAATGGTAGAAAAAGGGTAGGAAAATGAGGAGGAAAGGTGTAGAAAAAAAAGGAAGGAGGAGAATTTTAGGGAGGAGTAGAAGAAGAAATAAAGGGGGGGGAGTAGAAAAGTGGGGAGTAGAAGAAGAAAGAAGAATCCAATAGTAATTTCTTACCAATGACTTGAATGAATGACAAAATGCTGATGAAAAGAAAAGTGCGCTATTTTTTTAGATGCGTTTTGCAAAGTCATATTCTGAAGATAATACAAATTCAACACTTTTGCTTGTAATATTCTGTATTCAGATCCATGGAAACCATTTTTGTTATTTTTACAATTGGAACCTTTCAGAATATAGATGAAGCCATTTTAAACTTTTGTAACTTTCCGAACAGAATTTCAGAAAAGGTTGCAATGTCGATTAATTTTCAGAAAACACGCACACACACAAACACAAGCACTCGCAGGTGCACACACACACACACACTTGTCTCCATATAAGTATCCTACGTCAAATACACCGTCGACAAGGAATGTCTGATGTTTTCCTTTATTTAATTCGTCGTGACAACACAAGTTTTCTTTTTGGCGGTCCTGAGTGTGTGTATTGGAGAATTTATCCATGGCAAGTTCAATCCTTGGGCCGGGCAGTATAGAATCCGTCTCAGGAAACTCTAAACGATCAATATTTTTCTTCAGAGCCTGTGACGGTCATGTTAGACATAAATTCATGGGGTTGGGGAATGGGCTGGACCCTTGCCTATTAGGAGATCATGTCCCACTTCATGATCGCCCAAAGGGACTTGCACCTAAGTCAGCGTAACGAATTTGAATTCGACATTCTCATCCCGAAGTTATCCCCACCTGCATAACGATGCTTACAACGTCTGATATCCCCAAACGGTCACCCATCTAAGTACAGACCATGATCGACGTTGCTTAACTTCGCTGATCGTATGGGAATCGGGGTTTCAAAACGATTTTGCCGTAATCCTATTAAACATCCGCACATCTATGCTTAGAACAGCTGATGTTCCCAAACGGTCACCCATCTAGGTTCTGACCAGGCTCGACATTGCTTAACCTCGCTGATCGTACGGGAATCGGGGTTTCAAAGTGACTGTAATCCCATTAATCATCCGCACATCTATGTTTACAATACCTGATATTCCCAAACCATCACCCATCTAGGTACTGACCAGCCACGACGTTGCTTAACTTTGGTGATCGTCAAGATTTTGTAAATAATTGTAACCTTAATATTAGTATTGTCCCAACATTGTGAATTTGTGCTACAGAATCAAAAACAAAGAACTTTACCAAATAACAAAAGCCACATCACTTGACAAGTTCCAAAAGCATCAATCAGTAAAGTGAATATCACATTTAACTCAGACAGAAAATAATAACTGTTGTGTATGATACACCTAATTTACATAAGCGGACTACCGACCATATAAATATGGGTTGGTACCGGAAGACGGGGAAGATAGTAGAGATTAAGAAATTGAATCCAGAGTCTCTGCCCGACTGCGATTTAGTCAACCCATTATGCAGGAACAGTCTTCCCAAGAATATACCAAACTAACTGTAAATATTGTGTACCTATTCTTTGTTTCAATACATTTTGTTAACGTACATTTTGTGTTGTATTATTCCATGCTTATTTAAGCTTCAACAATAACATAATCAAGATGTTAGCATTCCACACCACTTCAAATAAAAGCTTCGGAAGGAAACCCTCATCAATACTAGATTGCGTGGTAAAAAAATAGAAAAAACAGTTTTCCTAAAAAGTGTTTTAAAAGAAAGACTTTTATAATTTCAACCCAAAGTTGCACAAGCTGCTCGGTTAATGAATTTCAAATGTTTCCTAATGTTTAAACAAGGATGATCTTTCCCACCCAATACCTTTAGACTTTACAGGTTCAAAGGCTTTTATCATCATTGATTTCAGGAATTGGTTGCCTACAACTGAAAGTTTGCATCTAAACGTGTTTGGAGCCATGCATGACATTCATATGAAAGCCTCGGTTTGACGAGCCTATTTAAAAAACATGACGAGTTTTTTTTTCAGGTTAATGTTTTGGTTTTGTAGCTATTTGAGGCATCGGGCGAAACTATTCCTTGCACCGTCTATTCTATGATAAATTTCTTTCTTCTCCTATATTTAATTTCTTATAGTGACCCATACGCCAGGATATCTAAAGTGTATATTGATTCCACATCCTGAATTTTTTATGATGGATTCAACGTAGATGCCATGACTGCTTTCATTCCAATTCCAGATAATAGTTTCTGTTTTGGAAATATTTATCTTGAGGTCCATTTATTGGTGCACGTGATATAGGATAATGATTTTCTGTTTGACGTCATTTTTATTCCAACTATGAATACCTATGTCGTCAGCATATCTCCGACTCATCATCAGGACATTGGCCTCGAGTAAGGAAGCAGGATGGTTGTCCTCTGTTTTTAGATTCCTTTGGAGTGTAGTATGGTTTGCCTTAATGCTCGGTTCGAACCCATTATTCAGTCGTAAGATAATCTAGACAGGAAAATTTGCTATTACACCACGTCGATGTGTTCCTTTCGTTTCCTTAGCATAGCTTAGATGTGTCACAAGTCCGAAAGTATGAGGCACCCAGTGAGGATGCAACTCACTACTCAGTCGTAAGATAATCTAGCCAGGAAAGCTTGCTATTACACCACGTCGATGCGTTCTTTTCGTTTCCTTAGCATAGCTGAAGTGTGTCACAACTCCGAAAGTATGGGGCACCCAGTGAGGATCAAATTGATTTAGCGGAACAAAAGTTCTGCAGTAAATAATGATGGTGAATGTAACACCTATCTGTAAACAACCATATTTTAGTATAACTTTTTTGATAAAAGTATGCACGTCAATGATGATTCGAATGCTTAAGGGAAACCATGAGAAGATACAGGAAACATGTAAGAGAATAAAGCCCCTAAGACGCAAGAATATGAGAAAAAAGAAAAACAATAAATAATAGAAGGCATCAAATTTCTACGTTTCCTGCAAACGTTTAAAATATAGTCTTTTACATTTCTCATTCATTCTATAATTGTCTTCCTTTGCCGTTTCCATTATTTTTGAGTTTCATTCTAAGTACATCCTTGCGCAAATTAATTGAAACAACCTCTTTAGTTTACTTTATTTCGCCATACGCTCAGATTTAATACCATTAACGTGACAGGGTTGAATCGATTTCTATTTTAACCTCATATTCGGTCATTTGCAGTGGTTTGCCGTAATGTGAATCTATTTTCGGGATGCATGATGAAATGTTTTGGCCTTGAAAAATATTGCGTCATCCGTGATTGCATCAGATTTTTATCACGCCCAGACATTATTTTCTAGACTGTCGATTAGTTGTCCTACGGCCATTTTTGCGATGGACTTTACTCAAACGAAGCGTTCGAAAATTGCAACGCTGCACAAACACAATGACAAGCCTTACCAGTGAGCAAATCAAAGTACCACCGATTGGCTCGGAAACTGTCCTGATTTATATCCAATCAAGAATCTGTGGTCAATCTGCAAGGAACGACTTCGTGGAATGGACATACGAAGTACTAACATGTTCACTGGGTCTTGTTTCATTGCAAAAATACAAAAAATAAATAATAACAAATCAACCATTCGCCCTTGCATGGAGTATTTCATATATGGTCTGGAGCACCTTCTGTTTTTCTCAAGGTTCTTGATAAAATCCAGAAACGGATATGCAATCTAATTGGCCTTGATCTGGCATCTCGTCTGCAGACGCTTTCTCACAGACGTACCATCGCCTCCCTCTGTCTTTTTTACAAATACTTTCATGGTAACTGCTCCGATGACCTTCTTTCCCAGACTTCATGAATTTAAGCCTTCAGCTAAGCTGGCATCTCGCTCACACCCTTTCACTGTCGAAACTGTTAAATGTAGCCGTCTCTTCTACTGCACTAACTTCACGTCTCGCACTTCTCGCCTGTGGAATTCCCTCCGCTTTTCCTGTTTTCCTGATATCTATAATCTCCAACTATTCAAATGTAATGTCAATCGATGTCTCCAGATGCCTTGATCTATCCCCTACACTTCTCTTCATCCTTTCCTCTATCACTCCTCTTTGCTCTCAATCCAACTCCCTGTAAGCCCTAGCGTGCTTGTGGCTTCCCCCTTGCTTTGGGTGAAACGCTTAAAAAAAAACAAACAAACAACAACAATAAAAAAATCAACAACAACAAAAAAATCAACAACAAAAAAATCAACAACAACAAAAAAATAACAACAAAAAAACAGAATTATTTGTTTCGTTTCAATTAATTTGCACAAGGGTGTACGTTCTTTTCATCAGATTCTACTTCCGTTTGTATATCTTCTTCTTCTTCTTCTTCTTCTTCTTCTTCTTCTGCTGCTGCTGCTGCTGCTACTACTAATAATACTACTACTATATTCTTCTTCTTCTTGGGTTGCAAAGAAATAGAATTGTCGACATAAAAATTAGCGACGTAACATATATTCCCTTTGCTTTTTCTATGATAGTTTCTTGGTAATTATTCTGATGAACTCTTTGGTATATCGATCAATTTAATCTCAATACTAGATTGGCGGCAAGGTCTCATCATTTTACATTCGAAATGTCTAGATTTAACCGTAAGTTCTATGCTAACAGTTCCTTCTTTGGCACTTCTCGATTGCGGAACTCACTTCCGGTCTCCCCTCAACATTGATCTTAATAAAATTAAAGGCTCTGTCCGTTGTTAACATCCTGTTTTCTCAATTTCTGCTCTTTTATTTTTTCTCGTTAATGATGTTTTTCTTTTTCTCATATTCATGCGTCTTGGAGGCGTTATTTCCTTGCTTCGGGTGAAATGATTAAAAATATGTTAAATATGTAGGCACAGATAAAAGCGGATATCCGTTCGATAATACTTGTGCGTTTTTGTTTTGCCGTGCTGATGTTGCTACATGCCTTACTTATCTCACACTGCGAATTTTTTCTAAGCTCTATATTAAACATTAAAATATGTTACGAAAAAAGAATGCTAGTTAACATTCGTGTCAGTCAGCTGTTGGCTCTCACGCTGGCCAATAGAATCTTCCTGCCTATTCGTGGCAGCCAGCTATAGTCTCCCACTCTGGTCAGTAGAAAATGACCGCAAACTACATGAAAACTGCCGTAGAAGCATGGAAAAATCGATTATTTCCACTATCGATGGCAGTTGAGAAATGCAATGTCGGTCTTGGCCTTCGAGCTAACTTGGAGCATGTGCATGTAAATTTTGGTGCAAATCCTTGGAAAATTGCGGCCGTGCATTCGTTACACACACACATCCTGCCTTTTATAGATAGAGATACATGCAACGAGGAATTCAAATGAGAATTCAGACTGAGAGAAGTATAGTGTCATGAAATAATACATAAACATCATTGACAGCACACAGTATTTCCGCAGATCTAATGATTTTAAAATCCAAATATATTTTTCATTTTCATTTCATTCAATGTTTTTCTTGTCCTCAGATTTTTCATTTATTTTTGTGTTTCACTGTAAATCTTTCTCTCTACATCAAATTTAACTTCCGTTTTAATTTCATCTTCTTTTTCTTCTACCCACCTTTGTTTGTTTGTTTCTTTCTTTTCTTTTTTCTCTTTTGTTTCCCTTTACATCTCTCTCGTTCACTTCTGCCTTTCTTTTACTTTCTCTTTTCCCACTAATTTCTGTTTATTTTGAACCACATTATTTCTTTCTTCCTTTCTTTCTTTTGATTTCTGATCATGATTTCCGTCTTTCCTCCTCTGTCGTTTGTTGTTGTTGTTGTTGTTCTTCTTCTTCTTCTTCTTCTTCTTCTTCTTCTTCTTCTTCTTTTTAGTTGTTGTTGCTGTTGTTGTTGTTGTTGTTGTTGTTGTTCTTCTTCTTCTTCTTCTTCTTCTTCCTCTTTTTAGTTGTTGTTGCTGTTGTTGTTGCTCTTCTTCTTTTTAGTTGTTGTTGCTGTTGTTGTTCTTCTTCTTTTTAGTTGTTGTTGCTTTTCTTCTTCTTCTTCTTTTTTCTTCTTTTTCTTCTTCGTCTTCCATTCGTTCTCACTCTACTCACCCCTCTTCTTTTCTCCCTTTCTTTTCTCCCTTCCTTTTCTTTCTCTAAAGCTCTAGCATCATTCACTCAGTGATGAATTTAACTTTCTCCACATTTATTTTTCTACTCACTTTCCTTTATTTCTTTCTTTTCTCTTTTATTCTCCTTTTCTTTCCTTTTTACTTTCTCTCGTTCTCTTCCGACATTCACTTTTTTCTCTCTTTCTTCATTATTTCTGTTTCTTTTTCACAAATTCCTTTTATACGATTTCTGATCCTGTTTTCCGCCTCTTCTTCTTCTTCTTCTTCTTCTTCTTCTCCTCCTCCTCCTCATCCTCCTCCTTCTTCTTCTTCTTCTTCTTCTTCTTCTTCTTCTTCATTGTTCTTCATTTTTGTTGTTTTCTTCTTTTTCGTTTTCCTTTTTTGGTTCTTCTTCTTCGTCTTCTTACTTTTCTTCGGTTTTGTAGGTCTTCTTCTTCCGTTTTGTTGTTGTTGTTGTTGTTCTTCTTCTTCTTCTTCATATTATTATTATTATTATTTTCTATTCCTCCCTTAATTTTTCCTTTTTTCTCTCTTTATTAAACAGCAGCCTCATTTACTCAGATGGAAATTTTATTCTCTCCACATTTATTAATATATCCACCTTCCTTTCTTTCTTTTTCTTTCTTTATTTCTTTCTTTCTTGTATCTTTTTTCCTCTTTCTTTCCCTTTACATTTTCCATGTTCTCTTCTGTCCTTCTCTTTCTTTCTTCTTTCTTTTTATTTCTCACGAATTGCTTTCTTTCGATTCTATCCCCTGTTCTCTATCTCTTCTTCTCTCTTATTTCTTCTTCTTCTTCTTCTTCTTCTTCTCTCTTATTTCTTCTTCTTCTTCTTCTTCTTCTTCTTCTTCTTCTTCTTCTTCTTCTTCGCATTTTCAGAATCGTCTTATTCATTAAATCCATTTATCTGTCGACAAAATTAATTTTTTCCGGATTCTGGTAAAATCCATAGAGGAAGCCATAATGAAGCCTTTTTCTAGCTTCTCTGCATGACGACATCTTTACGTTTGATGCCTACTTTTATCGCCTTCGTCTTTTTCGTTCCTGTCATTTCCTCTTTTCTTTTTCTTTTCTTTTTTTTTTTTTGCATCATGTCTATCACTTACTTGATGTCCAAACGATTTTCCCAAAGCCCAGCAAAAACGATACAAATAAACGTCCTTACAAGACTGGAAAAAATCACTAAACCCCCTCCAAATAAAAGGTAGAGGGGAAAAATATTCAATGGTGGATGCTTCACATGTCAAATGATGCGAACTAAACTTTGATTCTGATGTTTATTTGATAAGAAAGGAAATTAAAAAAGATTCTGATGTTTATTCGACAGGAAAACTTAAATTTAAAAAATAAAAAAACCCAGAAAAACGAAAGAAAAGCCTCTAACAAATTTTCAGAAGGTTTTTATTTCTGACTTTTAAATATAATTTTTTTAATCACTGGCATTGCGTTCGTATGAACCTGTCAGTCATATGAAAATATCTACCATAACAAAATATTATTATTATCATCAGGATCTATGATATCTTATCTCTTGCAATTCATATATTTTCCCATTTCATTTTGCCTGCATTACTTACCACGGGGAAATGCCTCACTCTCCTGCAGCCATTCTGACAGAAAATAAATAAAGATGATGAAAATTGAGCAGTTTCGTTTTGGTGGCGTTAAAAGTAACAAGCCATTTCTTGCCCTAGTGAACAACAGATTAAAAGTCATTTTTGAGATTGCCTGCAAACTTGATCAAACCAATTATACTTATAATTAAGACAGGAATAAATAGGTGTGTCCTCAGTATAGATACCAGAGTGAGAACTAATAACATTGGGAAATTCGTTGATAAGAATAAGAACAAAGTAGGTCCGCGGATAGAGGCCTGGCGAGGAGCCGCATAAATCTAAAAAGATCTAGAAGAGTGGCCGTTCAAGACAACATTCATTACGCAATTTGATAAGAAAGATTGAAACAACTAAAAAACTCTTCTATATATACATCAACCTTCAACATGTGAAGAAGAAAAACATACCAGATCCTTTTAAATGCGTGCGTAATATCTAAGCAAAATCTCGTGTTCTATCGTTTTTATCTATAACTTGATAGACGATTTAAGCAATAATATATCAGCAGTTGACCTAGAGAAAGAAAAGTTATATTTTTCGTCTAAAAGGTGGTACTCAAGTGAAGGAACAACAACACGTGCGTAGATGAAATAAAGTGAGGTTTATTGTAAAAGATAATACACTACTAAAAGACAGGGAATCGGGTGGCAGGCTAGTAATAACCCGTAGCAAGGATATCTACCAACCGCCCAACGCGGTCAGATGTGGCACAAGGCCGAATAGTGTAGTATCCGAGCCCGTAGCTGTTTCCCGAGAAGAGACTCTGCCCTTCGACATAACCTTCTCTGGGGATCCTCTCTGCCTGAAGGTATAGAGTTTAACCAGCACAGGTGGAGACGAATATCCAACTAATTCCTGAAAGCAAGGATATTTACCTTACCCAACCGCAAGGCCGTTTTTTTAATGCCGGGCAAAACCAAGCCCATAGGCTCGGGCAAAAATTCCCAGTAGACCCCGTATACACGGGTTCGGGTAGCTGTCTATCACCCTAGATGATACCCTGCCCTTCTGCAGAGCATCGTCTGGGTTCATCTCTGTCCAAATGTAGAGAGTTCGACTAGCTCAGCTAGAGACGAATCTCCAATTAATTGCCGAAGGGTATTTGCCAACAACCACACGCAGTCTGACGTGGCACAAGGCCGAATTTAACTTGGGGTATCTGAGTCCGTAGAATCGGGCAGAAAGTCCCCATAAACCCCGTAAACAACTACCTCGGGTAGCTGTCTACCACCCTAGATGAGACTCTGCCCTTCGGCATAGCCTCGTCTGGGTTCCTCTCTGCCCAAATGTAGAGAGTTCGACTAGCTTAGCTGGAGACGAATCTCCAACTAATTACCGAAGCAAGTCCTCAGATATATCCTGTGCTTACTATATATATGTATCTACTGATATAGTCGGTCCACAAAAAGCGATAGGGAGTGTGGGCTATTTCATTACAACAAAGACCTTGCCTGATGAGATACTTAACAATTCTGGAATAGATTAGAATCTCTATAAGTTTGTCAGAAAATGGTAGAACCTTCGAAGTTCGATAGTTAGAACGATCAGAACCGTAGCAGATGTCCAGCAAACAGGAACGCAGCAAGACATTTATTGTAGAGTTTAGACATAACAGGGATCATTACAAGAATATATTTATTTACGATTATGCATAGATATCATTAAGTCCGCATTCTTTGTGAGGATCCAATATGGCGATGATAGAATAAAGAATTGATGAGGGTTCAGAAAATTCTAGGTTTTTACTTAACAACTCGCACAAGTGAATTGTTTAACTTGGTCAATTGTCTGTGCATTGTAACTCACTCTCTCTTCATCATAGCAACATGTCGTGTAATATAGTGCGTCAGATGATTCTACAATCACACGCATTTTGCAAAGGAGTTTTCCATTTCTTTGCTGCATGTTGGCTCCTATAAGAAGCTCATCCACTCTTTGCCAACTCACTCCAGTGGATTCAGTGTTTTTATTCTTCTAGGCTGGTTACAAAACCAAAATTATAGGTTGCAGTCTGTTCTGTTATTTCCTTATAGGGAGGAGATAGATTCCTACCTTTCCCAAGGCTATTTGTCCTTCAGTAAATATAACGAATTTCGATACGAAGAAGATATGCCAAGGAGTCATTTTCTTCATTGCCTATAGAAAGTTGTGAAGTTCTGGATGTTGCTCCTGATTTATAATTTGTGGACTTATATTTCCATAAATATTTCCCGGTTTATATTCACCAGTGATCTTTCAAACCGAGTTGTTTGTGAATGCGTTTGGTTTTCGGAAGGATTTCTGTGTCGTTTTAAATGTTATTTTGTTTTTTATAATGACTGTATAGTCAATCTCACGGTCAGTCATAATTTTATTATATATATATATATATATATATATATATATATATATATATATATATATATATATATATGCATGTTTCATTAAAAACGACAGACAAGGTACTACGGTTAAGCTTTTATTTAATTTTTCTTGTGTTCGTACAAGTGCTTTCTTTTTTTGGACACAGAGTGTATAGAAATTGTCCAAATGTTCTATAGTTCCGAGCGCTTTCGGCTATACTTTAGTCATTATCAAGGATGGTTTTATTTATTCAGTTTAATTAAGTGTGTGCGTTATGTGTATGTTTTTAGTGTGTTATAGAGATGTTTTATTTTTATTTTTGTGTTAGCACATTTTGGCCTTGTTTGTAGTTGATATTGTCAAGAGTTGGCTTTTTCTTTTTTATTATTAAAGCTTCCATTATTTTTAGCCTTTTTTTGCAGATGGATGCAGTTAATATATTTGTGTTTTCTACTAGTATATTTCTAATGGAGTCTGGTAAATTTGTGTGTGTGTTTAAATGGGTTCTAATGGAGCTGTGAGCGGATAGGTGTAACGTAAGACGTCTGGATGTAAGCATGTGGTTTTGTAACCGATATAATTATTTATGAGTCCGGTTTGATCAGGGATACTGTTCCTTAAGGGGTATTTGAACTATATATATATATATATATATATATATAAGCTACGGAATCGCCATCAACGTGACAAAGGCCCTGATCCGCCAGCTGGAGTCAAAATCACCATGGACCTGGGGAATGTTAAATAATTTCTATAATTTTGGAGCGTATTAATATCAAATGCATCCGCGGAAAAAGACCGCCTACGTAGCAAGCAGAAAGCAATTCAAAAGAGTTTTCTCCAGTGTTGTGCTAACGCAAACCAGCAAATTCATCGCCGATTTGTTGTAATCTCGACTCTCCTGTACACCTGCCATATATAGGTACTCAACCGAAGAGACGTCCGCAGACTTCAGATTCAATCAATTGAAGTCAAATCCTGTGGAACACGTGGCAGGACCGGATCACGAACAAAGAAGTCCTCCTTTGCGAAAAGATGGAGAGCCTAGAAACCAACAATGATTCGATTTGCCACCAAGTTCGATGGGCCGCACACCGCCTACCCTTCCCAGAAATCGCATTTTGCAAGCGACCACGTGGACACCCAAGTCATCGATTTAAGGATCAGCTCAAAAACACTTTGCTGAGGACAGAAATTGTTCCAGTCAATTGGGAAAGAGAAGCTGCAGAAAGAACCAATTGTAGAAGAGCAGTCTACGAGAAAACAGCATCTTTCAAAAATACCAAAAGACAAATAGAAGAAATGAAGAGATCTCAAAGAAAAGTCAGAGTTCTCCATCTCCTTAACCCTCCCACCGTGCGGTGGCTGATGACGTATCTTCAGGTCCAACATAAGACTCATTCCATTTGTTAATATATATATATATATATATATATATATATATATATATATATATATAGAGAGAGAGAGAGAGAGAGAGAGAGAGAGAGATCAATTATCAAGCTGTTGTAATATAGACCCTCCTATACGCCTGTGAGACCGGCGGTTACACTAC